TCCTTCAAAGACCTGGCTAAACTGGAAGCAAAACTAAAGCCATCTCTATCGACTGGAATGGAGGAATGTTTAACAGTCACTCAGATTTCAAGTGCAGATTCAAATGGAACAGATACAGGATGACTTTCACTGAATGGCTGGTATAAATTATGAAGATCTACCTCGCCTTCAAGTGATTTGAGAGCTAAATAACATTCCTCAACTTACAGCTTCCAATCCTGATACAAATATACCTTCTAAGGTAAATTTTGATTTTTACTCTGTTAATGATTTTTGCAACTGTGCTGATATTCAAAATTCATATCCATTAACATCATTCTCTGTTTTAAATTGTAATATAAGAAGCCTAAATGCTAATTTTGATCACTTAACCCAAGTGTTGGCTGACTTGAGCTTACCGTTGACTCTGTTTGGTCTCACTGAAACTTGGATTAATAATTATACTGATCAGGCAATAGTTCATCATCTTCTGGCTACACATTTATTTCCCAACCAACTAGCCTAAAGGCAGGGGGGGGGGGTTGGAGCATTTATTTGTAATGAAATCAATTTCCATGTAAGGGCTGATTTGAGCTCAAGTATTGATGAATGTGAAATTCTTTGGGTAGAAATTGTAAATAATTCTAGTAAAAATATTCTTTGTGGCATTTTCTACAGACATCCAAATTCAAATTTAGAAACATTTTTGAGTAAGCAATTTTCATGTATTGATATTATAAATGGAGAAGGAAAACTCTGCTCTATTAGGCGACTTCAATGTTAATCTTCTGAATTTTGAAACCCATAAACCTACTGAGGAGTTTATAAATACTATGAGTACCAATTTTTATGTACTTTATTTCATTAAGCCAACTACAATAACTTTCCATACTGCAACTTTAATTGACAATATTTTCTTTAATTCCCTTGATTTTCTTACTATTAGTGGTAATGTAATTTATGACCTTAGTGACCATTTACCCAACTGTTTAATTGTAAATGAAATTACTATGTTACCTGACTCAAAAGATAAAATCTACAAACAAGATTTTTCCAACATTAATGAAGAACTTGTTCTGAATTACTTTGCATCAATCCAGTGGCTAGATGTATTTGGTGAATCTCAGAATGTCAATCAGCTATTTGAGGTTTTCTTTTCTAAGTGCTGTGAAATTGTAAATAAACACTTTCCATTACAAAAACTCTCCTGTAGGGAGGTGAAATTCAATTCTAAACCTTGGATAACTAAGGCACTTAGAAAGTCTATGAGTTATAAGAATACTTTATACAGACAATTTATTAGAACTAAATCTACTACTAGTCACTACAAATATAAAATCTATAGAAACAAACTTACAGGTTTACTACGACTTAGCAAAAAGCTTCACTACCACAATTATCTTTTAGCAAATCAGAGCAATGTCAAAAATGTGTGGAAAGGTATAAGGCAACTTGTTACTCTTAAGCCAAAAGAATTCTTCAAGTCCAAAAGGATTGTTAAAGACAATCAAGTGATTACTGATACTGAAGCAATAGCAAGTGAATTTAATAACTATTTTGCAACTATTGGCTGGAGATTAGCAGCTCAAATTCCCATTTGTGGAGCTTATACACATAAAGTTTATCTTGATACTCCCAGTAGATCAAGTTTCTTTCTTTTACCAGTTACTAATTTATTTTGACATCATAGAAATTATAAATAATTTGAATCCTAATAAGTCAACTGGACCTTTTAGTATTCCAGTAGTCCTCTTGAAAGTTTTAAAGAACTGTATTTCTTGCCCTCTTGAATCCTTTATAATTGTTTTTTTACATCAGGCAATGTTCCTGATCATTTTAAAGTTGCAAAAGTTATTCCAGTCTACAAAAAAGGCTCACCTCTCGTGGTAACAAACTATTGTCCTATCTCATTGTTATCTATATTTAATAAGATTCTTGAGAGATTGATGTATAACAGATTAATTAAGTACTTTGAGAAATCTTCTACTATTTTTGACCAACAATTTGGATTTCGCTTGTCATTCCACATTTCATGCCCTTATTCTTATGATAGATAAAATCCAAAAGGCTATTGACACTAAGAATTATTCATGTGGTATCTTCATAGATTTGGGTAAGGCCTTTGATACTGTGGATCACCATGTCCAACTTGATAAGTTGGAATACTATGGTATTAGAGGCATTGCACATGAACGGTTTTCTTCCTACTTATCTCATAGGAGCCAGTTTGTTTCACTAGGCCATGTGGAATCTGGTGCACAGCAAATTCCATGTGGAGTACCACAGGGTTCAGTTTTGATACCCTTATTATTTTTGTTATATGCAAATGATTTGCATAAATGTTCCAGTGTATTAAATTTCCATCTGCAGATGACACCAAGATTGGTGTTGGTAAATTGAGAAAGCATTGTAGCGGGGTTAGGTTGACATTGATTTGGTGTAAACTATTGAACCATTGAAGAGACTCATCACCTAATTTCAAGAGAGATTGACAATCAAAGAATGCATGTTCAATAGAGTCATTTTCATCCCACAGAACACATTTGGCACAGTCAGTTATTCCAAATCGATTAAGTTCTTTATTAGTGACTAGTATTCTGT